AGCCATCGAAATACTATTCTTTATAACGGAATTGTGGTTTTTAATGCCTTAGATCTTAACATTAGGAATAATAATAACTATTTGTCTTTTTTATCATCTCTTAAAAAACATTTTTATAAGTTTTAATTAATTTTTATAGATTTATATATATTTAATTTATTAATGTCTGTAATGTATAGACGGCTGCACAGAATATCAATTTCAATTGAGTGCACCACGTCTTTAAACAACAATAAATTCAAATTCAAATTCAGATTCAGATTCATCAAAAACAAAACCATATAAATTGAATGAAAGTCTATGCTCATTTAGCCCAGGAGAAATAGCGGCAAATGTAGCTAGAAAAACCTCATCTGTACTAACCCTTGCATAGGTAACGGCCCGGCCTGCATGAAGTCAAGATTGAGTATCTCATCGGCGGTGGCGCCCGGCTCTTGCTATAAGTATTCAATGCAAACACAAGTATTTTTGAACGCAAAAAATCATTAAATGCATCAAATAATGCATACTTTGCCGAATTGATTGCAGGGAAAGGCTATGATTTCAAACTTTTTGTCTTTGAATTGTGTTTTGAGTGCATTATATTTTGGTGGATAAGTGGTGGTAAGGCCTCAAAAGGCGGCCACATTTGCGATGAGGAGAGTGTAGTTTTGGTACTCTTTCATCGACACCTTCTTCTTGCCGTCAATCGTCTCAAACGAATACTCGTAGATATTCTCGTCTTTGCTGTCGAAACAGTCGACAGAATCGACAATTTCGTGTCGACGAGTCTTATTGTAATACTGGCCGTCAGTGCCGGCCATCAAAGCGGCCAACACTACGGGCAGTATATATGACTTCATTGTTTTTCTATAGTGTACTCACAATTGACTACACTATAGGTGTCTATTAAATTGTTTCCAAGAATTACATTCGCTTTTATATACTTTTTTATTTTCAAAATTTGTTTTTCAATTGCATTTGATTATGAAATATCGCGAATCATGTGAAGACTTGATTAACTCGTCAAACAATTGAACACAGCTCTTAAGGAAGAGATATATCCATGTGATATGTGATTGTTGTTTACGTTAAATAACGTTTTTAGTGCATTCAAACGGCGATTATTCTAGAATTTAGATTAATTGTGGTCTTAATAAATGCAAATGCTATCAGCTTTTGATTGTTTCCGAGTCTACTATTAATACAGTTGTGAAACAAAGTGTATATTAAGCCGACTTTCACTCGTATCTAAGGACTTAAGTACATGTTTACAGAATAGGAATTAATCTCCTTTTGAATAGATTTGAAAAGTAGACCGCATTTACGATTACTGTCGAGTGGTTTAATAAATATTATCCACAATTTAAAAGCAGATAAATGTTACGCAATAAAAATAATCAAATGTAGTTATTTTAAAAATAGCTATAAACCAAATGCTAGAAACAAAACCAATTACAGTACATGTGTTTGTAAAATCTCTTTTATTAGACAATCATTTTTCAAAAATTATTACAGAATAAAATTTTTCATTACAAAATAGGAAATAGTTTTATATTAAAATGAATTTAATGTCCAAAAAGACGGTTATATCAAACGAATGGTGTATTGCATATGAAAACCTATAACTTTCTGGTGACCAGAATCCACAAAGACTTTTGGCTTAAATCACATTTTCTGGATATTAGTAGTTATGATAAGTAATAATATTTGAAATGTAATAATTATATAGTATTTGGTTTGATATTTGAATTTCTTGATTGTGTCGACACTTAACAGCAAAATCAAAGTTTCAAACCATTGAAACCACTGGTAATGTGATGTGAATCACAATTGGTTTGATTTTTCTGATCATAAGTAAAACATTATTATTAAATTATTTATCGATAAAATTTAACAATTGCTTTAATATTGTAATCAATATTTAAGAAAACATTATCTATAATAATGAAAGTAATTTTATAATTTAAGTTAACTTTCTTAGGCAACAGAAACCGAGTTTCATAAACATTGGATCATTACTTTCCTAACAAAAATTGTTCAAATCTATGTTAGAAATTGCTTGAGTCGGCTATTAATCAAATGACTCAATAGATTCTATATTATAATCAGTACTTTATAATTAAATTTATTAATCTCAAGCTCTAAACACTTATTGCTGTGAAAAAACAAATTGCTTTTAAACTATTATAGAAGTTTAGAAATAACAGAATGACAAACACAAATGAAATTAACTAATCTAAGCTATTTTACCGGGTGTAGCTCTTCAATTTATACTATCTATTATATCAATATATACAGTGCAATCTCTCTATATAAATAATGTTAAAAGTTTTGTTATAAAGATATTTTTCTTATAATGAGGTTTTAAAGACAATTAAGCAATGAATAATGTGGTTTATAGGATCATTCGGCCCCCGGATCGGCCGATCGTTTCTTATAGAGAGGTTGCACTGTATTAATTAAATATACAAACAAAACATGTATTGGAAATATATAGATATGATAGTCCGCTCAGACACGAGACATGTCATCAAATGTAACGTTCATTATAAAAATGTTTATTATTAGCGACTAAAGTGTGCGGCGGACAGACATTAAGCGGTGTTTGGAAGTGAACTATACTTTTTGCTGAGCCATGGCTTTGAGGGCACACTTGGAAGCGGCTATTTTGGCAGATTTGGTATTTTTGCCGATTCCTCCGTATTGTCTGCCATCGGCGGTCACAGTCACGTGTATCTTACGGCCAGTAATCTGTTCCCCTGCACTGCGCACACAATCAAACACATTAGCGATTCAAACAAGTTGTGAAACTCATTCAAAATACCTGAACTCCACTTTCGCGCAGCGCTCTCTCAGCTCTCGGATCGGCATTCTTGGGATATTATGACTGAAATAGTCTACAAAAATACAACATTTTAACGTTAACTACAGTTAAACGATACGAATATAACATATAAATACCAATTTCTGGCTTAAGAAGCTTGAAATAGACTCTCCAAACGGCATCCAATGAGAGCCCACTGTCCAGCCATATAGCGCCGGCCACCGACTCGAATATATCGCCCAACGCTTTGGGCACTTCCACCTCTTCCAAGTCGGACACCTCTTCGTCGGTCAAGTGATTAAAGCTGTTGTTAATTGTCATCACTTTATTCTTCTCAAACTCTCGAACAAACAGTTCGATGGCGTGGAACAGATCCGGTGACAAGACTTTCAGAAATTGATGGAAACGAAACTTAACGGCAATCGACGCGAAGAAGGCGTTGTTGACGAGCGCCGACCGCAAGTCTGTCAGCTCTCCCGGACTGAACATCTTGTCCTCAATGCTGAATATATGACGAGTTATGAGATAATCCAAAATGGCGTCGCCTAAGAACTCGAGTCGTTGGTAGCAATCGGTAAACACATTCAGATAGTTAGAGCTATGAGTGAACGCTTGGATTAGAAACGCTTTGTTCTTGAATTCGTAACCAATGATCCGCTCGAAGACATCTAAATTACATCCATTGTAGTCAATGTCTATGAATAAGTCAATATCATTGTCAGTCAATTCCGTGTTCCAAATGGGACTCTTCGGCTCCGGCAGCCATCGGAACAATGCGTTCTCATCTCTGCGCTCGACATTCAGATAATCAATGCTTTCCATTGTCGACACTTTAAGGCCCAACCATTGCATGAAAATCAGCGCACATTTGTTGCCACCGACGAGAAGGTGAGCGCCGATCAGTGCCTCCATAGCGTCGGCGATACTCTTGTCATTCACCAAATGTATTCCGTAAGCGCCGGCAGTCATCTCTTTGTCGGTCAGCCGCTGACAATCGGACTCATCGCTAATGTGATGGTATGGCGCCAACCAGTTCTGGTAGGGATACCACTTGTTGGCCACCAATACGTCGGCCAAACCCAACCGTTTGCCGATGTAATAGAGATTACAATTGCAAATCTGGAGTTGGCGTAAGTACGAGAGCCGTCCCTCGTCGAGCTCAGGGCACCCGTAGTACAGGAACGTTGTCGTCGCCAACTTGAGGAACGAGTCGCCCATTGTCTCCATGCGCTCCAGATTGAAGGCGTCGTTAGCGCTCAACAGAGTCAGAGCTTTGAGCAAAGTGTCGGCCGTCGGGCCCGCAATCGGGTCGCCGACGCGCGAGTCATACGAACCACGGATGTAACGATTGATATCGCCTTTGAATTCAAACGGAAACGATTCGCCATAACTGAGTGACTGATCGGTATTGACGAGAGCGGTGTCGACACTCTCGGTGTCCATCATATCTGCGGTGAATCGCAATCCATTACCGCTTAGAAGGCATTTGGAAAAACGGAGAATCACAGCGTCCGTGAAATTAAGCAAATCCGTCACCGCATCCGTCACTATATTATTACTGGTGATCGGAAGTGGAGTTAGACTACTGAGGTGTTTGTTAGAGGCTTTGACCACTTTATCGATAGTTATTTGATACTCTGTCCGCTGTTTCTTCGTACGACACGACGGCAATTGTGTGACCGCATACGGCATACCTAAACAGTGTTATGTTTCGGTATTAATTTGCTATTAACTGTTAATTATAATTTATAATATAGTTATTACAATCCCCTCTTCAGCACAACTTTTGCTTAAACACTATTCACATAAAAAATTGTACGAATATTATATTTATTGTAATCACTGATAATGTGGGTAATATACAACTTATTATGCTATTTGGTAAATAAAGCTATAATTAACATTGCTCATTTACTGCCACATATTGTAAAACCAAATAGTTGTCCAGTTATGCCCGCATATTATAGAACACCTTTACTCATACCGTAATCGAAAGGATGTCCGTCGCAGTCAACCTCCAAGTCGTCAACACTGAGGATCCGTTTTGGGCTTTCGGTCTGTTGTGCGTCTGTTTTGGTGTCTTTTAATATAAGCTCATTATTGATCGGTTGAAGCAAACCAATCGATGGCATTGTCTTCGAACGAATCGTTTGACGCAACTCTTCGGCCAAAAACAGATGATTAAGTCGATAGAGAACGGCCGGCAAACAGAGAGCCTGACGCCACAGTGTGCTCGGGTACGGGTGTATTGTCACCAATTCGGGCACAAAGTACTCCCTCTTATGAATGTCCACTTTGGGAATGACAAATGGCTTGAGTTGAGCGCAATTCTTCACCCGTCGGCCCTCAATAAGCGATTGATTTTTGTTGCAAATCTCTAAACCGTATTTCTTTCGGTAGTAGTGTTCAAACGTCTCGTACTGACTGTCGGCTCCAATCCATTGGGAGAAGGGCTTCAGGTCTCGGACTCCGAGAGAGTCGTAGAACATGGGCTTAAAATCATCGTTCGGATCAGACGAATACCACGGATAGAAAACACAGTCCTTATAGACATTTGGATCAAATGTAAAGCCGATTCGATCAGCGATCGGCACTTTCTTCACTTCAATGTCAGGCCATGTAATGATCTTCGCTATGAAATTCCAATCAATTGCTGAGCCATCGATCAATGGGACGACTAATAGATTGAAATTGGATTCAAACCCATTGAACTCGAGTTCGCTTTTGTCGCCAAACTTCAAGACGGCATTGAATGTGAAGCGATGAAACTTTTCAATCATCTCTTTCTGATTGGCATTCAATTGGATTGCATTCAATGGCGTGAAGTCGACCATAGCTTGTGAGCTAAGAGTACATTCACCCGATAAATGCTGCCTAACATTGACAGATACCGTGAATGAGCACCGGTTCGCTATCAGTCGGCCAGTGATGGCACCGAACTGGAGATGACGAACGCCAAAGCAATCAATTTGCGGGTATTTTATCGATATTAATTGCAAATAGTATTCATCTGAGGGGACATCTGGTGGAGTGAACACTTGCGCCAAACGTTTCGCATATATTTGGTTACGATTTCGTGTCCCGGGCTTCGGTTCGCCCGCTTTAACGATCTCTTCTTTATTAATATTTAAACCCAATTTAAGGGCATATTTATCGATAAACTGTTGTTTACTTGTGGGCAGAAAGCGGTCGTCGAGTTCACCCAATCGATGCAATTCAATGCAGGCCAGGAATGCGGCGCTCTTTTTGGCACCTTTTTTCGAAAGGCAAAACTTGCCGTTGATTTGCGTTTTGAGTGGACTGTTGACCGGCATCTTCACCGAACACTGGAACGGCTTGATTTCGCCCCTCATCTCAAATATGGGTATCAATTGAGTGAACGAATCGGAGGGCAGTTTCTGACAGTATTGGTAGAGCAGCGAAATGGCCATTCGGGACGATAGGATCGCACCGATTGGGCTCTTATGTTGCAGTTCGTCGTCGGAATCGTTGTCCTCATCTTCGGCGACACGACTGCTTCCACTGCCACCACTTCTTCGGTCATTATTTAAGTTCTCAATGCGTCTCTCCATATGCTCAAAGTTGTTGAGCTGTTGCCTCAATGCCTGACTGTCCTCATCGGATGTAATCATGTAGTAATGCGCGTCTCTGTCTCTGGCCCTCCCTTTCGACTGCAAATACTCGCGAAACGTATTGATTCGGTCGTAACGGACAACGAGATTGCATTGTCTCACATCCAACCCTTCCTCCAACACAGAAGTGGCCACAATTACGTTCAGCTTTTTGTCCCTGAAGTTCTGAATGACCGCCTGTTGCTGTTTGTCCGTAAAGGAGGTGACCAGCGATTCAAAGCCCGGTCTATTGCTCTGTCCGACGACCCAATCCACGTTTAGGAAACCATACGTCAACGGATCAATTCTCTTCAGCTCTACCAACCATTCGGCCAACACTTTGGCCACCGATCGTTGGTTTACGAATATAATGGCGCAGAGATTGCTTTCGCGAGTGCTGTCAAAGGGTTTGTATTTACGCAAGATTTCGAGCAAACGATTCATTTTAGGCGAAGCCGTATTGAGAGCCGCTTTGGGATCGGCCGCGAGTTCGGGCGCAAACACTGTCTTAATATGGCGTAAATACTTGATAATGAAGTCAAACATTTGCGATAGACTTGAATTGATATGTTTGTACACCTCTTCATACTTCGACAACTCGTCGATGTATTGGTCGACGGCTTTGGAGGCGCACCAGACGCCCATCCATGTCATCGTTATGATAAACCTCTGCTTCGTGTTCGGGTCGATCACCACCTTATCGATCGGATCCGCTAACATATTGCGTATGTTTATCAGACACTTCTTGATTCTCGTCGCACACATCGACACCTTCTCGTCGGTCTGCGGACCGGCTTTTGTCGAATAGGGATTCGGTTTCTTCACGTTTTTCTTCAGATATTCGGCAAACTTTTCCAACGCTTTCACCACCTGTTGGGCGACAGGACTGGGAGACGAGGGCTCACTCAAGAACTCCCACACAATTTCCTTCGGGTTTGTGCCGCAGAGTTGGGCCACGTCTGACGTGTTGACGACCGCGCAATACGTGTCCTCCAAATCTTTGACCGCCTCGTCGAAGAGCTCCACTTTCATCGAGCTATTGATAAGACTGGCCGACAGACCCAACACACGGGGCCGACGATCTACGGGACAGTCGCGGTATAGATTCATGAGCTGCTTATACGCGTGTCCCGACTCTTTCTTGCCCTTCTTCTTGGCCGCCCAGTGGACCTCATCCACGATCAACAGATTGATGTTATCCCATGTGATGAACCGACGCGTCAACATATCTAACAGTATCTGTAATGTCATTACGATTACATAGTTGTCGGACAGGTGTTTGCGCCACATTTCGTGGTCATAGAAGTCCACATTCATGTCGCCCGTGAAGTGCTTGACGGGACCGATGGCGCCAAAGTGGCGACGGATTTGGTTGGCCTGTTGTTGAGCCAACACTCGTGTGGGCACCAGAAAGAAGGTGCGTTTGGCCACCGATGGGTACGGGCCTCGCAGTTGGCGCGCGAATTGCGGATCTTTCATGAGTAGGATTGAGATGAACGTCTTGCCAGTGCCTGTGCCCAGACATACGATCGTATTCCTCTCTAACGCCAGTTTATACATCTCTACCTAATTATCAATCATACGGTCGACTCATTTCACCATCATTTGGGCGCAATAACAATACCTGATACGGACGGGGAGTCATCTCCTCTGTCCCGACATCACCGCCGCCGCACACATCCGCCCCTTTACTCGTTGACGCCATTTAAGTCTCTCTCTCTCTCTCTCTCTCTCTCNGCTATATATACGGAACAAGTGTTTCGTCTCAAGAATATTCTCTATTAGTCAGGAAATGGGGAAATGTTTGCACAGAATATGCATTACTTTCAATGGCATTCTTAAGCATCAAGAATATAGTGTTTGGGTTTCGAGTGATTCTTTAAATTCATAGCACACTTCTCTCCAACAATAAGAGTTGAAAACACATTTAAATTGGTTTATATTTATATAACAGTAATACATACAACTCATGGTAAGAATACAGCACACCTTCGCACAAATTATTACAATTTAAAGCCTTTAAGCAAATTGTGGGTAAAATAAAGTTTTAAAAATGCATTCAATTGCCAATAATGTAAATGTTTATTCATAACTCATTCTACTGTATATACTAAACAAATAGATATTTATTAAATTAGAAAACCAAAGGGGAAATATATATTCGCTTGTATTCTAGTCTCTAAAAACTAAATTTAGACCGTGATAAAAAATATAGTAAATATAAGCTGTGATATAAAAAATAAGCTAGATTGTGCCCACATCTAGATTAACTATTTCAACAAACATCGGCTATAGTTTAAAAGTAAAACAAACTATCATAAAGTTATTATCATAAGGTAATCAATAGACTGGTGCCCACACATGTGCGCTAAGGTATGAATCATATGGTGTGATCGCATTATGGTAATTAATTAAGCAAATATAATAATCTCAATGATTGCATGTTTGGCACCAAAACAGTTGTCAAAGAGTTTACTCAATAATCAAAAGTCAAATCCGAGACACAGACAGTGAAAACTGTGTCGATCTCTAGTGAGTGAACGCTATAACACGTTGCATAACATTATGAGCGCACATAACCCTATGTTGTAACAAATGCCCGCAAATATAAACAGCAACATTTAGAAAACATGCATAATTTTGTATCGTGATCAATTAGTAATAATGTTGATAGTTATATTAACTGGATCAATATGATAATCTATGATTATCTAGTTATCTAAACAGTTAATCTAGCTCAAATAAGTTTGGTGGGAATATATGCGGGCAAAACCTAAACTATTGAAACCTATGGCAACAAATGCAGTGATGAAATGCAGTGCAACTCAATGCCAGTCAACACAAGGATTGTGTGTTATTTTTGATCTCTGAATCACAAACTGTCACAAAAAGTGTTCGCAAATAACCAATTGTTTCATCGCTTATAAAAAGTCAACTCTTAATCATTAAATGAGTTAATCGTTTGAATGAACGACGAGTTGTGGAGAAGTGTTCAGACAATTGGAGTGAGAATTGGATTGCAATCGATTTGATTGATTGAGTCAAACAATACAAGCGTTCAAAACGTAAGTTTCAATGCATTTCTATTTGTCGTAAGCTTTCACTGCAAACGCATAACGCGTTTCGGAATCGCAATTAGTGTTACAATTAAATGTCATTACAATTGCTGTGACATAACGTGCGGTGAGTGTTGTGTCGGATAGAGTGGCGCAGAGTTTGCACACTTACCTGTGCGGTGAGGGCACGGCTGGACCACCACCTGTACTGACAGTACTGTATGAGTCATGCGATAGACATCCATTTGATCCCATATGAGGTACAATATGATCCATTTAATCAACACGTTTGTTGTGCACTACATTGTCACCACAGCTGATCCATTAGGCATTGATTGCTGCAATCACTAAATATGCATGAATTGTTACTGTTATATAAGTTTATGCAATTTGCGACACTATTCACATGCAATATATGAAACAATAAATAAGTTATGACTTAATTGTATAATTAATAATAGCCATCCGTAGAGAGTGAGCATGGTACTTATTGTAATTAATATTGCATTTAATTGCATATTCATTGAATAGTTAGTCACTGAATAGTTACTGTAATTGTAGTTCACTTTAACCCACATTTACTATACATTTACCCAATAATTGATATTTGCTTTCATTACTCATTCATTAGTCATTTGATTCATTTTCATGACTCGTATTGCAGTTTAATATGAATACTGAATGAATGATTAGATTATATGCAAAACATTTGTTCATTTCGTATACAAATCCAATTTTATTACATGTTATCAATTGTAGTCAACACTTCTCAAAGACATTCAAATCAATATTAAGTTGAATTTAATTTAATTTCAATACAGAGTCTGGAGAGAAGTTTATGACCAATACTTCGGTTGGAGAGAAGGAGAGAGAGAGAGAGAGAGAGAGAGAGAGA